CGTGGTGCTGAGCTGCTGCCTGGGGCTAAGCCACGACACCAGGATACAATCTGTTATGGTTCTAGGATGTAGATACGCACAGAGATGTATAAGGAGCCACACCTTGTAACTTCAACACTAGTTCTGCACTGAAGACTCCAAGTATAGGTATAAGTCAAATTCACACCAAAATCTGTCTAAATTGCAGGTGGATGCTCAGATCATACTTTTAGTTATTCAGATACAGAGCCATAAAGATTATGTTAACTATACTCAGACAGCTGGATTATTGCTTGTTTCCTTTCTAAAATGATTTAAAAGTTACATAATACCCAGACTTAACTGTTACCTCCATTTTGTGCAATACCTCTGCCTTATGAAAGACAGAAATAACATCTATGTGTGCATATTTCTTTACCTTCACTGGACCATGATGTAGGCAGCTGATTTATATAAGGATTATATTCTTAGGTAACTATACTTAAAAAAACTCCACTTAAATGACATATAAGATTTCTCGACAAGACAAAGCGAAACATGTTAACTCCAAATACTACTTCATTTATTCTTAAAGTTCTAAAACATGTTTCTGTGAAAGAGTTGATCCTTCTCTCAAGCTTCTAAAGCTTCACCAGAATGCTTACATGCCTGCCAATATATAATCTCTGTTTTTTGTATTTGTGTGTATCTTTTTGTAAATAGAGAAAGCTGGAGTTGGAAATGGACTTTCATATTAAGTAGGTTCATTTACATGGAAGTGATAAGAATTTACTGCTTACTGAAATGAAAGGTAAATCTGAGTGGTTTTGAGAATTATTTCTGTGCACTATTCAAGAAATATTTATCTAAAAATAAATTGTATATGCAACACATTAGTGTTACCAACCATGTACATAACAAATGATTCAGTACTGTCAATCTGTTTTGATTTTTATAGCCTTACCTTTTGCTATGCAACTGTTATTCCACTCCTTATAATTTTTCTCACACGCACATTTGTACGACCCCTTAATATTACTGCAGTGTTGGGAGCAGGTACCAAATACCATACACTCATTGATATCTATGAGGAAAAGAATTGTAATTTATATAGCTATAGTTTAATACACTATTATTTAACATGTTCGGAACATCATGGAACAATGCAGATGAACAAAAGGAACTCATAAACATTGGTATATCTTGCAACAGTAAAAGGAAGCCTTCTGCAATTATCACTAATGCTATTTCCGCTGCAATCCACATATCTCAGAAAGATATTTTATATTATTTCTCCATCCTTCTTCTATCAACATATTATCATTAGTTTGAAATCAACTTTGAGAACGAAAACATCTGTTACAGTTACCTCCGACACACCTATCTCTGTTACAGTCAAAGCTAATATGATCACCCCTTACTGGAAAACCGCCTGTGTATACCTTTTTCTTAAGAGCCAAACAACGAAGTATTTGTATGCAAGTATCTATTCACTTTGATAATCCCACTGAGGTGATCTCCACATTTTCTGGAAGTTGCTGCTCACCAGTAAGAAAATGAATTCACAACCCATTCTTTGGGAAGGCAGCTTTATCTTATCTTTTTGATCAACTCTTTCATTGTAACAACTATGTTTTTTTCTGACCAGTGTGGCATGACATATATTAAGATTACATTTTCTAAGGTATTTTACTTTCAATCTCTTTATTTTCTTTTCAATTTTCAGTTTTATGCATCTTCATTATTTTAAGCATATCAAAATATTTGCATATACCAACTTAAACACCAGTCCCAGTTGCTCAGTTAAATGATCTACTAGACCTAAAATTACCCATTTACCCCTTAAATTATAAAATCATTTAATGGTCTGACCTGAACCTTTCGACATTCACAACCAATGTTAATCTTTGATAACCTCTCCAGGTAGAATGCATAAATCTATATCCTGTAAATCCTTTCAGTTTCTTTTCTTGATTTCTTAATGCCATAGCTATGAAACAGTTTTTACTCTGTGGAAAAAAGTATGTGTTATGTATCTCCTTCTTCAGCTTAGAAAATTGACCATGCAGTTGACTTTTAATACTTTACAGCAAGGGATGATGGAAAAGATCTGTACCTTCACATTGTCTATTCCTCTTGTTTCTCTGAAATCCAGGTTTACACTGACACAGGAGGGATGTTTTTGTTTGATTACAGTATGCATCATCTCCACAAGGATTCACATTATCTTCACATGTATATTCAGTGACACCTAAATGTAAACAAAATGTCTAAAAAACACTGATAGATCTGTTTAAACTGTTAAAAATGAGATCTAAAATAACAACAAATAACAAATTTATCTTTCTGTTAAAAGTGTGTCAGGTAAATTTTAAACAATTATATGACATTACCTACATATGCATATACATTGACAGTATTTAATTGAGATACTTCATTTCACATCAAGAATTTAATACTAAAATTTATCTTGTTGCAAATATGAAATAAAATGCAATCAGCTTGTAGCTGAACTACTTAAAAAACTCAAGAACTACTCTAAAAACTACTACAACCTACTACAACTGCTGTGAAATTTGCCTTCCTCTTGTGGTATGTCAAATAGAATTAACTCTTTTTTTAACTAAAAAATTAACTTTAAGTTTAATTAACTTCTGTGATGTTGAGTAGGTGTTGCATGGATGAAAGTCTCAGTTAATTACTTCTTTTCTGCTACAATGATGAAAACACATCTTGTCAGCCAAACTCACTTATTTTGCAGTCTTGCTCATCTGAACCATCTCCGCAGTCATCAAACCAATCGCACTGTAGCTCCATTGGAATACATTTCTTATCATTACAAGCAAACTCATCTTTTTTACATGGTCTTGCTTTATATGTGATTTTATCTATATAATTACAAATGAATAAGAGAAAAATAAATCAGTATTTAAGATTTTTAGATTATTTTAGACACATACAAATGGGAATGACCATGAAGCATTAAGCAACTGGAAATTATTTCAAGCTTAATTTCTTTCAGTTTCAAATTCTGATCTACTAACCTCCAGTTAAGCTTTACTGAAGGACAAGCAGATCTCTGTAACAAAGTTTGCCTTCAAGTTGTTTTCTTTGATCTGAATGCCTTGAAAGGTAATATCACCTACCGCAGTGATCTTCATCCGAGTTATCACCGCAGTCATCAACCTCATTGCAAATCTGCTCAGGTCGCAGACAAACCCTGTTGTTTCTACATCTGTACGGCCTTGTTGGAGGGCATGGAAACTTTGCTGTATATTAAAAAAGAAGAATCAGCTATTACCCAGCTAGCATTCTTGAACCTTCTTTAATGTCTCCTTATCAATAAGCAATACGCAGGCATAGGAACACATTTGTACTTGGCATATGAACAGTACTTGATTTTAACTTCTGGTACCTAATGGAATAACATTTCAACAATGTTTATAGTAGAAGTTCTTCATTTAGGGAATGAAATTATTTTGAGTGATAAGGGTAACTACACTTCTTTTTGAGAATCAGTAAATATGACAGAAATAAAACAAAGGCAGGAGGAAATTTAATGATAATCAATATTTCAACGTAGAAGTAACTTTTTCCCATCTGTGCAATTCCTACAAATAGATTAATTTCTCACAAATATCTTATCTGAACTTACATGAGTAGCACTAACAATAGAAAACTATATCCCACATTTGAAGTTAATCTTCTAGAAGTTAAATAAAGACAACTTAGACACATATGTCCTTATCTATTTATGTATGTTACAGGTAATTTCTTGCTTTACTACATGAAAAGCACTGAAAAATGTAATGTCATACCACACATTTCAGCAACTTCATCAGAGTTATCTCCACAGTCATCCTCGCCATCACAAACCCAAAAATGTAGTTTGCAGAGGGAATTGTTGCACAAAAATTCATCAGCTCTACATATATTTCCCCCTGGGAGGATAAAAAGAAGACAGGAAAAAAAACAGGAAAATAGAAAGACAAAAGAAAGAATGTCAATTCCTGATAAAACCAGTACAACCACTTATCACATACTGTCTGCAGAGAGTGACACACATAGCTTAACTAAATGAACAAATCCCAAATGAAAGGGTTGGAGAAGCAGAGAGAAATATTTATTTAAAAATCTCTTCCTTGACCATACACTTCTTTCTCTTTTCATGGTAACTGTTAGCTAGGCATTACCTATTTGGCCTGACTAGAAAGGACAGTTATCAAAGACAGACACTGACAACTCACCAGCTAGGTATGCTCCCCCCGCATTTAGCCAGGAGATGCTCAAACTACCTTTCTGCCTGTAACTGCCTTTGGTGATGCTGCCTTTCAGAAAAGACCTGGCTGGGTACAGCAGTAATTTGTGCTGTCAGAGAATGGTACAAACCAGAAGACAGAAATACGGTCAAACTTGTGAAAGGCCACTTTCGTCCAGGTTGGTTTCACATGAATGTCTGATCCTCCACCTATTCCTACTCCCACTCTCTGAGACACACATCGTGTTCAGAAGAGACAAAGTGATTGCAGTTCCTTAGCCATGAGGTAGCATCTTTTTAGTCTCCTGAGGAGTAATAGGCTTGGCCAGGCTTGTAACATCCCCATCAACTATAAACTCTGTAATTAGGGAAGATCTAGCCACGGAGGCACAGAGTAGATACGACTAGGTGACCTCTAACAGTCTCTTCCTTTTTGTAACTTCTGCAATTTCCCATTAGGATATTTACTGAACACAGATGCAGCAAGAATAAATTCTTCCATGTAACTTTAGTATTGATTGAACTCTGAATCATCTAACAAACTGGAACAGAGGGTGAGAGAACATGTTTTTAGCTGGAGTACTCAAGCTTTAAAAATTGGTTCAAGTTGGATTCAGTTTTAATACGTGTAGCAGTATGAAGGCATTTTGTTTCAAAATTCTAACTAAATTTTACCACCACCAATCAATGAAGTTATGGAAACTTCTTGAAATTAATTTTCTACATAACACGTTTTTATGGTAACTGCATTCTCAGTTTCCTGAGAGAAGTAGAGTATAAAAGAAATAAAGCTGTGTACCTGCAGAGGAGGAAACAATGAAATTTTATATGATAACACCAAAACTCTCACTGTGGCTCACCTCAATGCATTATACCCATCCTAACAGTTAGATCAGACTCCAGTGGCTTTTTACTTATTCACTCAGTGCCCTGTTCACACCCCATTAAAATCAACAGAAGGCTTTCTTTCGCTATAAAGGGTTCAGAATGGTTTAAATTTTTTTTCCAGAAAATTAATTTGCATGAAATACCCACCATGTAAGAGGATGTTGGGAACTCTCACACTATGTTACCAAATATAATTCACTCCCATTGCAAATGTAACTTACGAATATTAACAGAAATATTCTTTATTATCATCCAAGGAAAAATATATAAAATTCAAGTATTCTTCATGATGAAAGACATGAATAGAAATAATTGTATGTGTAATCACAATAAAACCATAATTCTAGTTGTATAATAAGATTGAAAAAAGCTATGTTTATAAATATGCACAGTGGGCTACAGATAAATATTACGGAGATTGTTTTAGAATGCTGTAGAATAAAACTCCATTTGTGTTTGCTGTATTTCCAAAAGAGGAAAAAAAATAGTTATCAGTGAGATAAACTGGCATTTGTTTCATGTGATTGCTCTGTCTGTCATAATTCCTTTAGAGAATAGATTTCTATAACAGAAATCATAATTGTGACATAAATGCAAAGTATTATAGCAATAACCAACTAGGCAAAAGTCTTATTGCATTATAAGCAATTTGCAGTTCACAGAACTTCCATTATGCTAGCCAGAAATAACGTTGGCCTCAGATAAAATAAGCACGTTACTACTTACTTACACTCCATTGTTTTTTAAAGAGATACAGTCCAGATATTTTAAAAGCAGCTTTAAAATGGACTAGAAGTTTTTTAAAACTTTGCTGATCTCATTCTCAGTCTTCTCAAAACAATTCATTCTTCAGCACTTCCAAATATGATGGTTCTCTCTTTGCATCTAAACATCTCTGGAACATTCTTCCCATTGTCTTCATTTTCTGGTCTCTCTTTTAATCATCCCATATAGCTTCTTTTTTTTTTTTTTTTTCCTAGTGGTAAGTGTTGGGTAATAGACTTACAACAAAATAAGGGAAGAATATTTTACTCCACAATTGCTTGCTTCATCTCTGATTGTTACTTATTGTTGCACTGCGTTATGCTTTTGAAGTTACACACATATCATGTGATTGTAGATGACTAACACACAGAACTAAAATTTTGCTTTTTTAAAAAAAATTCTTTAATTTGAGTAAGAATTTCTGTGTTTGTCACGATTATTGAATTACTATACTTACTACGAATTTTGTGCAGTTACACTACTACTGCCTGGTACCTGAAGCAAGGTTCAGTTAAAAAAAAAAAATCAGAAATAAAGACTTGCATGGTCTTACCCTCAGAGGGAGTACTACAGGGAACTCATTTAATAATGTTTAATTGCATACATCTATGTGTGTGTATGTATATATAGATATGTATGTAAATATATATATGAACGCTCAATTAAAAAGACATATTGGAACAAGATTTGTGAATTTGCAACTATGAGAATTAGACCAACTGATGTATTTCTCAAAACCATATCTGGAAGCTTAATCATAAGCATGAAAGTCTGAGCGTAGCATTTAGCTTCATGTGAATCAACTTATGTACATAGTTCTGCTCTCTAAGGAGACTGAGAATTCAAAATGTGGTTTTATGGGTTCTGGTTAGTTGCAACATTTCATCTCCATGGAAATAAATAGAAAACTGGGGTCTTAAGATTACTTATTTAGCAATTTTTCCTTACATTGCATGGCTTTGTAATTTATTGTTGCCTATAAAACTGTAAATTAACCGGACTTATTACCGACTTCTCTGACGAGACAGAATATGCTTCCAGTAATAACGCAACCTTTTGGTCCTTGGGGAAGCAAACACAAAGAAGGAACAATGAGCTGTGAGTTATAAACCATGTAAGTTTTGCTTCATCCTGCAAATTGCTCGTGAAGCTGCTGTACTGTCTTTGTTGAAAGAGGTCACGAGCTTTCATTTCATCACTCAGAATGGCCAGGGCACCACTAACTTACAACGTGTGCGAATTCAAAACCCAATAAAGTAAGCCTTTTAGAGAAAAGTGTCTCTTGCCTTGGTCACAGCTTTCTTCGTCACTGCCATCCACGCAGTCGTGGATCCCATCACAAAGCCATCTGACCGGGATACAGTAGGCCTTATTTTTGCATCGAAACTGATCCTCTTTACACTCTGTTACACAATCCATCTGTGTGAATACAGACAGGAGCTAAGTATTAATGGGTGAGAAAAACAACATACTTAAAGACAAACTTAACAAAATTTACCGCCACTGCTTTTTATTGCCCTACGTATTTAATACAAGAAAGTCGTCCCTGACAATGGAATGCGCAATTTAAACAGTTACCGAAGTCCAAGTGGAATTGTAACCACACATTATATATGTTCTGAAATTACTTCTTTACATTGCTTACTATTAGCATTGGAAACAATGGCTGCATTCACATTGCTGAAGTCAACTGCCCTAAGAGAACCAAGCCTGGACATGAGGCCAGTTAGTGCAAGCTGGCTGATACCCACACTGATCAGGACTAGAGACCTCCAGAGTGGATTGTCTTCACCTGCACCGCGTAGCATTTGGATCAGGCAGCCTTCAGGCTCTAACTGGCACCTTTAGGGCTCTGAGAAATAACAGTTATTTTTGATCTTTTTTCTTGAAGTTGTTCATGAAGGTGGTAATTTAAAAAAAAAAAAAACCAACCCAACAGTGCAACATGCAGGAAGAGCACGGCATGAAGGCCCACGGAGGCTGCAGTGCCTGCTAGGATTGTATCAGATGACTCTAGAGGACAGAGGGAGCCAAACGTGACACCAGCTTGTGCACACTGCCGGTACGGAGCAGTCCCTGTAGAAAACTCCCCCAGAACCATGCTCAGGTTTTGACTTAGGGGAAATAAATTTGCCTGCTCCAAAAGGCGGCCACAGAGCAAACAAACATAATGCAACGTAACTACCCGGGAACTAAAGTCATGGGGCTAAGTTGTCTCACAATTGTTCAATGGATGGGAAGAAAACCTCAGTTGCCCTTTTAATTATTTTCAGTTCCAAAACTGCTAATAAACTTCATGTCAGATGGTAAGAAAAAAAAAAAAAAATCAACAGAAATTTGTTAGCTACCTCATCAGATCCATCAGCACAGTCATATTCTCCATTACATTTCAAAGATGCCGAAATACAACCTCCACTTGCACACACGTACTCACTTGGAGAGCAGGTTGGAGACGCTGGTTACAAACACATATTTTAGCATTAAGAAAAAGAGAATTAATAAATAAGTTGCTTTATAATTTAATCTTTTCATCTGGTTAACACAGTGAGCAAACATGTATTTGTAGCCGACCAGAGCTTTTCCAAATGTTCATAAACTACAATGAAATATTTGGCAAAAATTAATTGTTGCACCCTAAGTAAAATGTATAATGATAGTGAATGGGTATTTGTGTTTTATCACTGGGAAATTTCATTTTGTGTTTTCCTTGTGCTTGGTAACAATGGTTATGACACACATAGACATACCCATAGAACAAGTATATTAAAAAAATTGCATTCTTTAAAATGGGCTTAGGGTTTAGCTAAAGTTATGTGTTTATAATTAAATGAGTTTAATTGATAAGAAACTATGTTTTTGAAAGTATACATTATTACAATTAAAATAAATACATGCTAATTAATTTTATTTAAAATTCAGGTGGATATTTTTGTTGCATTGTTTATCAGGGGAGTTCTGTTATAGGCTTCTACCAGTTGCACCTATCTAGATGAAGCTTACAAAAAAATTAGGAAAATGCCTGCAAAAATAAACAACTGCATTTTCCAAGACAGTAATAAGGAAATAAAACAGTAACAACAAAACCAGTAATTTGCTAGAGAAAAACTTTGCATAAGGACTAGTAAAACTTGAATAAACACCACAAAGCAAAAAATCCCCGGAGACACTTTAGTAACATGCCAAGAATTACTGCTCTTTTCAGAGAAGAATTTTATAAGCTGAGTATACATTATCAAATTAGTTTTCAATATAATTAAATTAAATACCATTCCCCCCAACAACCTTCATATTGCATAGCTGTATATAAGTGGAGTTCTCAAAACATGAGTAGGACAACACAATGATACAAATTCAAAAGACAAAGTATTTCAGATGTCTTTGTACTCCTCCCTACTCCTAGTGTACAAGGAATCTTGATTTGCTGATTTATTTTCTCCTTGTTCGTTCTGTTTTATTCCTTGCTTCACTTTATTTCTCAGCATTATTTAAAACAATACCTGGTTCACAATTTTTCTCGTCATCCCCAAGTTTGCAGTCTTCATGACCATCACATCTCCATTTCACTGATATGCACTGACCATTGGAACACTGGAACTGATCTCTTGAACAGCCTGTTTCACAATACCTCTGGTACAATAAAACCAACATATATACGAGATCAAGAGTTTAATACAAACATCAGTAAATATACAGCTGATTGAAATACAGTAATGCCTTGTGAAAATCTATTTTGTAGATTCATGAAAGGTGGCTTGCACCATCTAAGTAGATCTAGGGAAGCACCTGAGGTCTAGCACTGCCAGGAAAGGAGAAGGGACAAAAGGGACAGGAAGGAACAGAAAAACAGCAAAGCAAATATCCAGTGAGCTTCTGTTACACAACAAACAGTCTACACAGTGTTTTCCCAAAAAACCCCTCACAAACCAAACCAAACCAAACCACTGCTCTGTGTAGAAAGAGTGGTTCCCCAACCAGGAAACAAAATATTGCCAGGATGGGAAGAGATCCAGATCACTGGTGGGACAAAAAAATGTTGACTATTTTTAAACATGACTTGATTTTATTTGCATGTTCTTTTTAGAAGAACTATTTCAATAGGTTCAGTTTTAATTTAATAAATATATTTGCATATATGGATTAATGTGTAGAATTCCCATTGCTGCTTTTTAAAATATTCATATATAGGAATCCATTCTCCAACAATATAAAACTACTAATTTTCTAAAGAAATATTTTCCTTGGAAGAAGCCTACCTCATCTGAGCCATCTGCACAGTCATAGTCTCCATCACACCAGAATCTTGCTGAAACACAGTCTCCATTTGCACAAAGAAAGTCTTTCAAATTGCATGTTTGAGGCTCTGAATAAAGAAAAGTAACAACACTAGATTTATTAGCATTTCCATAAATTTTTTTCTACATAAACCCCCCCCAATCAATCAATGAATTACTGTAACAAAGTCAAAACCACTCACTTGCAAGCTATAAGGATATTTTTTTCTGCAGGATTTTGTTTCATAACATCTTATAACTAAATTTCATTTACATACAGTTAGATAGTAGTGAAAATACTTTCATTTCAGTTCTATCAAATTTCTTTGGAAAATTATGTGATGCTGACTATATAAACATTATTTATTTCAATGCATGTATGTTATTACAGGGTTTGTGAGATATGTACCACAGACTAGAAATTCATTTTGCACCTGTTAATATGCAATGCAATTAGAACTAACCAGATCTTTGACTTGCCATCACGCAATAGCGTACCATTTATCACATACCTTTTAACATATGCGTGTGTGTCAAGAGCCAGCTTCCCCTGTGCTAAGCACTCAGGGGAACAACATTGAGACGGTAAATGGAATGCCTAAGAGGTAAGGTTTGGAGTTTCAAGTGAAATCTGCTTTCCAGGAATTAAGAATGGGAGGAAGCATGCCAATAATCCACTGACTTAAATACTGACAAAATTGTTAGAGAGATTTAACAGAATGAGAATACAGTGAGTTGCAAAAGTCAATGGACAGTATACTTTCATAAAAAATCACGACTGTCAATTTGTTAGAAAACACAGAAAGGGGGGGGGAGGTAAGGATAAGGATGGAATTTTCAAGTAATTTTAGGGAAACAGAAAGGAGATGTTATATAAAAAGAATCTACAGAGCTTACAGATGGATAGGAGACAGTAAAGGTTGGAAGGTAAGTGGGATGTTTTGTGATAAATGGGTATGTTGTTGTACTCCCTGGGAAGAAACAAAACACAGGGAGGTCTGAAGTCATTATAAAAGGTGGACACAACAAAGGGGAAGAGCAGACACAAAATTAATTCAAGGCAAAAGCAAAGCAAACGGGAGAAGCAGGCTGCAGGGAGTGATGGAGTAATCCTGAGAAGGTGAGATTGGCTGTTTCAGCTTATTTACTTCACTGTCTGTACAGCTCTGCATTTTTGCTACTGCTGCCACAAAAACACTGGCAAGGAGACCAGCATGGGAGATTCCCCCAGCAGAATACTACGTGCTTTCCTCCTGAAAATGAGGACCGTTGGACATTGGAAAAAATGATGTTAATGTCTGGACTTTGGACCATTAGATTAAATAAATGTAGAGAAGTATAAACAAAGGTAGAGAAGCAGTGGGGACTGAGGAGAATTTAAGCAAGTCTCTACATGCAATTTAGACTTTGCCAGTCAGAGAGCTTTGGGAAAGCAGGACTGAAAAAGCAAACAACAACGATTTGTGGGATTATTTCCATCACAGTAAACATTGCATTATGTAAATAACGTAAAATCAAGAATAAGGATGAATTAGTAAGACCTTTTCAACAGAGATGGGAAAAGAGTTCAGGCAAATGGTAAATGACAGTGACTAAATGAATGGAGGAAGGGTGAAAAAGAAGGAGAGACTGAGAGCAGACAGTAGCAATGGACAGCAATGGATCAGGTAATGCTGAAGGGTCATTTAGCTAGTTATGGAAGGTGGAAGCATGAATGCATTTGAAAAACATACCACAGCAATCGAAGAAAGCAAACACAAAATTAGAGGCTTCCAACTGAGAAGAATTTGGTAAATACCAGCGTGAGAATACACTAGACTAGAGTTGCACTGATCGAAGTTAAAGTTGAACTTTTTTTTTCTGGAACTATAAAAATCAAAAACTATTTCAAGGAACAGTTTTAATGAACATTTCAGCTAGTATTTTTTTTTTTTTTCACTTCATAAAAAAAGTCAAAATGATGCTGTTTGAAATTTTTCAAGAGAAATTTCATTTTTCAGGTAGGCACAACTTTTCATTTTGAAGTTGTAGGGAAGTCATAATAAAAGCAGATCAACAGCAATTGATCGGTTCTCCAGCAATGTTATCTTTAAGGAAATCAAAGGTTAGCATTTACATGGATTCTTAGATTGTACACATACTACTTGGAATTTTTTTCAAAGCAAAAGCTCATTCTATAAACATTAGCAAATCACTGACATGTGATTCTTTTTGTTGTCAACAGGCCAGGAAGAGGGAGTTCACGGTACGATAAATTATGTAAAGGAAATAATTTGTGGAAAAAGTAATTCACATGCAAATAAACATTTGTCATGTTTCTATATTGATTTGCAAAATATAAGCAAATATATTTTCTATACTGCTAATGAATTATTTATAAACAGAGATTTGTTTCTGAAAAAGTGTACACAATGAGCTAACTTCTCAATTCTCTGTCTGCAAGAAATATTTCTTCTGCTGCAAGAAATATTTCTTCTGCTGCTCGAATACGTCTCTGTGATCTACATATGAACACAGAAGAGTACTTTCCCATCAGCGCTCAGACTGTTAGTGAAAGGAATAAGTATTAATAGACTTCTGTATAACCTGTGAAGGACAGGATCTTTCAGCTTCTGCTTCATAAAAACACTGAAACTCCTTCCCAAGGAAAGCATTTTTTAATTATTAGAAAGAATTTTATTTGAAACACAGCACATAAAATCTACTTCTTTCACATTTTAAAGTCTGAAAATAATCTGTAGAGCCAACAGACATTTGTCATCAACTTAAATGGTAGCAAGACAAGGATCTCATGAGAAACATTTAAAATTATTTCATATTTGTGGTTCAATTTTGCATTTAATAGGCATAGATATTGCACTAAATCATGAACTGAAAGGATTTTTCAGGAGACTGATGTACTGATATACAAGTCTGAGGGAAAAAAAACATAATATTTTTTTCTTAAAAATAGGATATGATGTTCAAAGTTATAGCGTACTTTTTTACCTGTATTTGTACAGGATAAATATGTTTGCTGCTTCTGAGAATTCTATGTCTCATAACGGCTGTTGCAAAGCAAACTTCTAGAGAATGTAATTTGTATAACAGGAAAGGTGGAACTTGTACGTAGAAAAAGAAGTAACAGCAATACGAACATAGGGTAGGAGCACCTCAACCAAAATGAGTTAGAAGTGTACATTGACCTCTTGATTCATCCTGGCTTTTGGCAGTAGATCACAAAGATGTAGAGGAATTAGGGGACATACTTAGGCTACACTGTCCTGTGATGAATGAGTATTCATCAGATCTACTACTAGAGGGTTGTGTTGGAGTTGAAACCTTTCAAGAAGCCAAGCCAGAGTATCCAGTATGATGCATCCACATAACATCAGTGAAACAGTATTATCATGATGTTGTGAGTTAACCCTGGAGGGCAGCTGAGCACCACACAGCCACTCAGAAGGGTGAAAGTTCAAAAAATTGTGGGTTGAGATAAAGACAGTTTAATACGTAAAGCAAAAGCTGTGTGCACAAGCAAAGTGAAATAATAATTCATTTGCGACTTCCCATCGGCAGGCTGGTGTTTAGCTGCTTCCAGGAAAGCAGGGCTCCATCACGTGTAATGGTCTTGGGAAAACAAATACCATAACTCTGAACATCCCCCCTTCCTCCTCCTTTTTCCCAGCTTTTTATTGCTGAGTGTGACATCATACGGAATGGGCTATCCCTTGGGTCAGTTGGGGTCAGCTCTGTGTCCCCTCCCAACTCCTTGTGCACCCCCAGCCCGCTTGCAGGTGGGGCAGCATGAGAAACAGAAAAGGCCTTGATGCTGTGCAAGCACTGCTCAGCAACAACTAAAACATCAGTGGGTCACCAACACTATTTTGGTCACAAATCTAAAACACAGCACCATAGGAGCTACTATGAAGAAAATTAAATCTCTCCCAGCCAAAACCAGTACACGTGGTAAAATGGAAGAGAGGAAAAAACAAAACCACCCTTCCTTATCATTCTCCATTACAACACTGCTAAAAACAATAACATGGACCAGTCTGCAGAATGAATGGCTGTAAACACAAGATGATTAAAGTGGTCAGAGGTGGGGTTTTTTCATATATTTAATGTGGCATTAAATGCAGATTTTCTTTACTTATTTTTTTTCAATAACTTTACTTAGCATTGTCTTTCACCAAAACAAAGACGACACTTGTTCTTTGTTAATCGATGCATAAGGCTGGTAGGTGTACGTAGAAAAAGAACCCTTTGGTACACGTCATTTTGTCATATTAAAGTAGCATACTTGCCTTTGGCTAGCATTGACACCTAGCTGCTTTTAGAAAAGTGACACTAGCCACTGTCTGACTTGCACCAAGTCAGCTGAGCCTTAACCAATGTAAAGAATATGACCTTACAGCACTGTCCACTCAAAATTTAGTCAAGATGACATTATGAGACATTCCAGCTTAGTATCTTTCAATATGCTGGTTTAAAACGTTTTCACTTAAACATTAAATAATTGCTAGTTCTCACTGCATTTGGCATACAAACTTATCCCAGGACAAAATTAACTCATTTGTTTTCTTGACAACTTGTAAGAGCAACAAAACAGCATTGAGAAGATTCTCTAGCAACAGTAATATCTTTACACTGATTGAATTAATGTCTTTCTCAAGCATTATTGCATTTGCTTTGCTTCGATGTTTACAATGTATAATATTTTCTTTAATTATATTCAATAAAACATTACTGGTGCTTTCTTTTCAGCAGGCATAAGAGTCATTACTACGGAATTTTCCTTTTTTAAAATTCCCTGAAAGAGAAAATACTATTTTTGCTCTAATTTGTTTTTAAAAATCCAAGCAAACTCTGAAAGCAAATTCCCCCACCAAAAATATATTAACTCAGAAGAGTTAAAAATGCATTCTACTTAGTGCTAACTTAGCATGGACCTATAACCTTCCTAGTAACTCTTACTTGTTTGGGAGGTTCCAAATACAGTTAAAAAATAACAGACTGTAAGACAAATACAGTTAAAGAACAAAGTCATAACAGGTACAACTATTTGCATTATATCACTAATAATTTTTCACACCCATAGGTGATATTTTTAACATGCATTCTGTTTCACTTATGACAACTTCACCAAGCTGCTGTGTGTGCATGCGAAGAAACTATATAGAAAAATGTAAATGCTTGAACTGAATTTCTATAATTCAATTAATTAGTTTTGCATTCTTGAGAAACAACTCATTTTCTCATACAGTTGTCTGACAAGCCCTTTGTATATTCAGTATGCTATGAACAACATCGTAATGTGCAAAGTAATATATTTTGTCAAATGCTTTTGAAGTTCTAATTTCGTATATATTTGTTTCATTACACTTTTATTATATAAGTGGCTTGACAGCCTATAAAGAATTTTATACATCTATTTCAGACAACTGAACAGTATTATGTATTTTCCCAATGCTTCCAAGATTATGAATTTTACAACTGTGTCAGCCTACTGTATTTAATTTAAACAGTAGAATATGGGATTCAACAGTTCGAAGTGAAGTACGCTTTGACCAGCAAAAGAAAATGAAAAAAAAACTAACACAAACTACTGTTCACCACTCCGGCCTTTAGTCTGAGGCACTGGCTGTGTCTGGGTATTCTCAACCCGCTAACTCCATCCATTACAATTAACCACATATTTCTTTATCTGCAAGTCTAAAGAACAGCCAAGAACTGAATATATAACTTAATTATTGATGTGAACACAGAGATGGCAAGCTTAAATATTTAAATATTTTAAAAAAACCCCAAACAAATAGATGATTGCTCCCTTGTTATTTGAACTTTTTTCTTTTTAAATCACTTTGTATGACAATCTAAACTTCAAGGAAGAAAATTATTAATACAGGGTGATAAATAAATCCTACTTCACAGATGGAAAATTTCAAATAAGGTGCTTGACACTTATTTTGCAAACAACAGTGATGTTTTGTGGAAGTTGGGTTTTTTAAAATTTTCAAATTTTCAGAAGATTATCTGTTATGTAGATTAATACTGCTATAGCAAAACTATATCTCTTTGTTTGATTTTCACACGAGAATAAAAGAACATAAAGTAATTTCTTGGTATTTATAATATAAATGCAAATGAAGAAATCCTACTGGAACTAATAATCAATTCCTAAGGAAAATCTCCCACAAAGTTAAGAAAGATTTTGTGTGTCAGCGCCCCCCTGGGGTATGGCAATAAATGGCTCTCAGTGATTACTGAGCCACATGACATTTTCCCCTTTAGATGAAACACTTGCGTATGAAAACTACAGCACTATTGCTTGCAGTAACTCACAACATTTTCAAATTTAGATAGTAATTAAAAGGCAGAAAAATCCACTTTAATCTTCAAAGCATAATGAGCTAGTCTTCAGACATCCTGTACCTATGGACATCTTGTCTCGAATTGGAGAGAGGGGCACACAGCACGTACGCAGCATTAGAAAGCCTAATTTATTAAGCTTTCTAGGTTATTACCCTGAAGATACTAAATATACATTCATGATATACAATCAAGAACATGCATTCAAGATTGTCTACACAACAAGGTATTAATTTCTTGGATTTCTAAGTACAAAAGAAAAAAGAACAGAAAGTGTCAACTGAAAAGAAGGCACTTCAGAACTATTTGTGGAATTTCCCTCTTGAAATATTTTATAAAGTCAATGATTATGAGATAAAACCATTAAAAATTTGTCACTTCTTCCTGAGAACCAGATCTAAATTAGCTCACTGAAAATGTTATTACAGAGATTTATTAGGCATTCAGGTTCCTCATAGGTAGGAGAGAACTAGGCTAACTGAACTACTTTGAATAACAACATCTACTTCTTAATGTGACGAAGTATTATAGAAATGCACTTCTCATGACACAAACCAAGGCAAGAATATAATGAATGTAATGTTTCATTCAACTTTATTGTTAACAAAACTTTATCACTTTATCACTGAGCAGTTTTTATGATTCTTATCTAGACATAAGGGATGAGATGCAACTTATTGACAAGGGTAAACTAATTGTAACATTTATTTTGAATTCATCAGATTATTGAGAAGTCATAGGTCAGGCAGTTTTGCATAGCTGATACAGATTTACAGCTCTTTGTAAGAATGAATAAAATTGGAGAATTTCAGGAAGGGATATTTTCAGTTCTGGTCAACTGATTTTCAACAGATCAGATGGCATTGTATAAAAATATACACGTGCAGTTTATCAAAATTGAAATTTCCTCTTACGTGTTGCTAAACTGGCTCCGTTCCTTATAACGCATACTTAGGTAAAAGTTACTTACTACAGTTTTCTTCGTCAGAATTATCACCACAATCGTTTTGACTGTCACATCTCCAATGATCTGGAATGCAGTTGTTGTTTTTGCACTGGAATTCATGTGGCCCACAAGTTTTTTTATCTGTAATTAAGATGAATATCATTTACATCATTGCAGACAGAGTCAAAACGGGAAAGATTGCTACTAAACAGCGGCATGACAATATTGCTAGATAGATTTAAGAAGGAGCAACCATAATACTTGATATGTTACTTTCAGAAATAATTTATTTCTCATACCACATTCTTAAAGATTCCGTTTATGCATTCATACCAAAAGAGAGATGCTCATAAATTTGATGATAAAATTAAAATATGGACTGTATACACTGTCATTTGAAGTAAAAAATATGAAACTCAAAGTGATCACAAATTAGTTTGAAGAGAGTGTATTATTGCACTGAATCTCAAAAACTCCATTGACTTTTCCTTGAATTTATCTGTAAGACTGCTTTACAAAAGATCAGATCACAGTAAACCACAAGGGTATTTATTTGAAAATGTACAAAATATGTATTTCTCAAAAGTTATGTTTGCATATAATAATTTAAGATTAATCATACCTGACAGAAAACTTTGCATTTTGATTTACATTTTCACCTTCTGATGTCTTGGATTGGAAGTCTACTTATACAAAGTAAATCATTATATAAAGCATACAATGCTAAACTGAGATTAATTTTCTTCATGCAGTAAATTTTCAATAAGCTTTCCTGTTTACAGAGTATCACTGTAGGCAAAGCCTCTTGGAGATGCATGAACATCCTGAACTCCTCCAGCAGGAAGGAGCTGCCTCTATGTTTTATTTATATTTTTTGTTTCTTGAGTAATTCTTTCAGGTTCTAAGGACTGAGATGAAATGAAGTAAATTAAAAAGTTATCAGTGACATTTTCCTTGGAAAAAAAAAAAAAGTTTGCTTTGTAAAAGCCTCAATGACATATTTAAAATTACATGTCACTGTGATGATATTTCAATAGAAATTTTTAAAATTTCCATTAGGCTATTTCATAGCATGTCAGTTCAGCCTTCATACTGCTATCATGACAACTCGATGAGTTCTAATAACTGACAGAATGAAGGAGGACTGAAACACTAGCTTAAATCAACCTGCTTTTTCTGCCTGTGAAATGGAAAGGACCACAAATTAGAGGTATTAGATTTGATGCTGCCGCCCAAACCGCTGCTTTTTGTGCTTTGTTTTAGGTGTGGTTCTGGAACTAGAGTGATAAATCAAAACCACATTTGAATATCAAGAAAGTGCAGGTAAATGGTGTTGTATCTCAGTTGTGTACACTCAAAACTTTGGTAATTACAATACTGTCTTTTGCATTTGTTCCTTATTCTCTGGCAATATCGTGATTGTAAGTAGTTTTCTCCCAAAACACTTTTTCCTATGATGTTTCTCAAGATGACAGTCTATGACATTTCAATCATGACATTTCAAATACTTGCGCTGGAAAGCACTTAAAAAATATTTAACATTGCAAAACATAAAAATATCCCGCCGCCTCCCTGAAAATAAGACACTCTTGTGTTTTGTTTCCGCAGCTTTGCAAAAGATCAAGTTTCAAACCAGAAATCCATCCTATATTTACTAATGTACTTTAGTAAAGTGTACAATCTCCCATTAACTTATCTTCCCACAAAATGAGTCCTAAAGACTAATGACACATTATATTCTATTTATCCTTCCATGTTCAATAGAAATACCAAGATCTAATCAGTAATATAGAGAAACCAGAGATGACACCCCTTCATTTCAGCTACCTGCTAAGATGAAGAGAACATGCAACGTATCTTTTCTTATTCTTCATAAAGAATTACCTAGTTCTCAAGGATGTTTAATCCATTTTCTAGCATTGCCTCTTTACATCTGTGAAGAAAGGCTGGATTGGGGTTTTTTTTTATAATTTAGCTGAGTGTAGTCTAACCTTATGATTACCACTTGAATATTAATCTTTCTCTTCTTACTCTATTTTTACCAAACACAAAGGAATACTTAATTATTTTTTTTTTTATACAAAATATTTTGCATCTTTGTAAGGCGCTCTCTTCTTCACAAATCTGAAAGCTTTATTCCTTCTTTGGGTTGACTAATCTCTTGTAGCAGCTTACACTTGACAATGTCTTACAAACCAGATTTGCTTGTCTTGTATTTCCTCCTTCACATTAATGAGAGCTGAGGAAAACACTAGGTACTTGAACTGAGATATCAAAAAGAGGAAGATTTGGGAAAGTTGTGTAACAAATATCTGATCTTTGGGAAAGACTGATTTACTCAACTCAAACGAAATACTGCAAGACCTTATTTTTTTGAACTGCGGAACCCTGAAAAGCACACATGGGCACACACACATTTTGTCATTGCTGTCTTCAACACTAAATTGCTTTCCATTTTTCTTAGAATGAGACCACCTTAAAAATGTGAAAGTTCAGATAGGAGTGGTACAAAGGCAAAGAAGTAAGTACTGATAACTCAAATTTCATATTTCTCTGTTCAAATTATTATTAAGAGATTCATTGATCTGCTGTAACAGGCAACGGCCCCTTCTGAGAAATTTGTGTGACCGCCTGAGGTAGCTGCTGGTTGCTCGGGGTTCGTCTTTTGTGCATACCAAACTAGGATTTTATTTTGGAAATAATTCTAAATGAGCATGAAGAAAATAGGAAGAAGGCTTAAATGGAAAACTAAACAAAACAAACCCCAAAATATTACGTATGCACCCTAAAAGCATTTTGATTAAATATCAATCACTATGAATTAAAACACTGTTTTGGCACTAATTGCACTGCCTTGCCATTTGGGGATTTTAATTCCATACATGCACACATTTGTGCATGTGTGTGCGTGTGCCTGAAAGGGATAAAATCCAAAATGAAAACAAACTCGCTTTTGATCGCTAGCTGTTCTAGAGCTTGGCAGGCTGTCACTGACGCTGGATACAGGAAATTATAAGCCTGCTGAAGGAAGTTTAAGTTTATATAATGCATCCTTCAAATGTCTCAAAGAACATATTCTTCATCATCATAGAAAAAACCCTACTTTGACTCTTTAGGCTAAAAATAAAATTAATGTTAAAAAAAGTGAGGAAGCAGAAAGCAGTCATACTAATGTTGACACAATATGCTAATAAAGACCTGACATACATATAACCTTTAAAGCAGATTATAATCACATTCTAAGGCCACACACAACTTTCTTCGGATTCTACCTCAAACAGGGCCTTTTTTGACGTAAAGTAATTAAAGTTGTGAGCAAGGATTACCATCATCTAATGGCTTATTTTAATTGCCTGGACAAAAGGCATGAATTAATTCTACCTACTGTTCTTTGAAAAACTCATTAATAAACATACATTTCCTAATTCTGCTTCAGTTGTCTGAGTTGGAAGGTAACCACAGAAGACTAAATACATTCAGACTACTTCTAACAAATTTACTCAGTATAGTATCTCCGATAACACACAGTAGCAGATGTTAACTATGCAAAATATATGACTATGCAGCACTTAAGTAAAAAAGAGATTATCCTTTATACAAGTTTTGCATTGTAAGCATTTTAGAAACGAACTACAAACGATAACAAGTTAGTATTAGCATCAACATATGCAGATCTTTCTAATACTCAGATTGCAGCTTTAGAATTTAATTCTACCAAACTTTGTTCATAAAAACAACCATCTTTAAATTAAAAAAAAAAATGCAGAAGACCAAACCATGTTAAAACTACTGTTATAATAAGGTCATTTAAACATATTTCAAATGCTAAAATTATGGAAAACATTAAAATATGATTAAACCCACCCTGTTCTTGTCAAGGCTTAGTTGTTCTGTGTGTACATAACCATGCGTGGCATAGAGATTGTGAATATGGATAAATTGTTCTGTCTCCTCTGACACAAAAACTAAGAGCATTACACGCGGCTAGCAGATTTAAAATAAAAATGGATGTGGTTTTTCAGGGAGGCGTGTAATTAAGCTGTGGAACTCCTTGTTGCAGCATGTTGTGAAAACTTTAGAAAGGTTAAAAGAGACTGAAATCCATCAAGGGTTACTGCGTACAGAGACATATTTGACTCACAATATGTCTGATTCTCAAATTGTTAGAGGCTGGAAGAGTATCCCAGGGAAGTTTCACTACAGGTCTGCTTTGCTCGCATATTCTTCCCTAGATACTAGCTTTCAGTCACTGCCAGAGACAGAATAAAAGGCAAGATGAGTCTTAGATATGAACCAGCATAACCTGTTTCACATATTGTGAGTGTGTCTTGCATTGACATCCATGTTCAGTGATTTTCCAACAATACTGATCCACTTATTCTGACTCTGATTATCTGTAAACCATTCCCCAGGTGGAATATTTATATTTAGTATTTTCTTTCACTTACAACAAAAGAGATGACTCAGTACTTCCCAACAATGCAGGCAATGACTGAGAACAGCTGCTACTGCTACTATACAGTATGATCTGTTTTTTTTCCAAGTGATGATGAATAGCATACTAGGCATACACAATAAAATATCATGTACAGACCAATGTGAAAACCACTTAGATTTCCAACTTTCTATGAGTATTGTCTTAATAAAATAATTTTAACTGTTTCTGCAGAAATACAGTCAATTCATCTGTTCTGTCAATGAGAAACATGCTAAAAACTGTAGAGTTATATTTCTGATCCAACAATGAATCTTCAAAAAAGCAATGAAAGAAAATGTTTGATTCAAAGATAGTACTTATGTTCTAAAAAATCTGCCTCGGTGGGGTAGAACACTTTGGTTCTGGATATTGTGTAAAATCTGACAGAAATTAGGGCCTGGTTTGGTAATGGTGCGATTCTATCCTTGATCTTCTTTGCAGAGAATCTGCCTCCTCAGAGTATCAAATTTAAATACAGAAGTTTCATAAGTATCAGGGGTTCTTGGAGAAGTCCTATGGGGATGCAAAGTTTGTGGAGTGGTGTGTTAGAGCCAAGTTGGAATCTGCTCTGGACCCTTCTGGAAAGCCAGTCTTAAATAACATGATTTGCGAATTACTGTATTTTTCACTATTTATGAACTCCAGCAGTAACAAAGTATGCAGAATAAACTGACAGAAACCGGGTAATACTGTAAGAAAAATCCAAAATGTCACTATATTCCAAATGAGATACTCATTTACAGCTCCTACCAATAAAATAGTAGTCTAATATGTTTATAGACTACTCATAAAAAGATTACAATTCAACAAAAACTGTATGAGCCAGATACAGTTATCATATTAGATAAGTATTACCGTACAGTGAAAGAGGACATATTAAGTGGGATGAATATTTCCTTTTGCTACTTTTTTCAAAAGTGTCAAGGTACAGTAATACATTCAAAACCACTGGCATACTCACCACAGTTAGCTTCATCTGATCCATCAGCACAATCTGGGTCTTCATCACATACCCACAGTTTAGAAATGCAGTGTTTTGTTGTTTTACACTGGAAATGGTCTGGAGAACAACTGTTTTCAGCTTTAAATAAAAGGATTCCAAATTAAAACTAGAAATTTCTGCTAATATTCAAAATATTTGTTTTAAAGAAAAAGGATTCAAAATTCAGAAATTGGGTATCTCTAGCATCTCTTATGTACCACCTGTAAGAAAACAGCATTCAGGTTAAATTGTTTATAATTTTGTCTTCTTTTTATTTATCATTTCATATATAAAAGTAAGGTCAGACAAATCTAATAAACAAAGTGTCTATTGTGATATTCTTTTGACAATGAATAGATTTAACATTGATACAATCAAACCACTTCAGTAAAAAGCAGTTAGATTTTTTTTTTCCTAACTTCCTAAAACACCAGTTATCAATTCTGAAAGTCAGTTTGAAGGACTAAGGCATCTCTCAATGCTTTGACTGGAAAGGTAATCAAAATTATGTAAAATTTTGGTGAAATTTTGTGCTCTCTGTTAAAAGAGGCCATAGGTAAATGATGAGAAAAGTTTGACAATTATTTCACTTTATCAGTGTAGCAGAACAATTTTTTGAATTAATCCTACAGCAAGATAAAGATGCAAAGATGCAGCTAACCTTCATCCTAGTCTTTCAGGATGCTGTAAGTTAAAGCTTAACTGCTTTAACTTTAGAACAGCCACTTGACAACAAAAAAAAATTGTCAGTGCAGTCATGTGATTCTAGATTGACTCTCTCACAAGCATATATGTGAGATCTTACTTTTTCTTAAACTCTTATAACTGAGAGTGTAGAGGCAAGATGGATAAAGGACATGTATCAGGACTGGACTGTGAGTAAGCTATTTGTGACCAGATGCATAAGGATTTCTTCAGAGATAAACATAAGTACAAGAACCTCCAAATTATTCTAAACTGAATTGAACACAGGTGGAAAACTGTATGATCCGTTCTCTGATAATGGTTTCCCACATGACTGTCTCACTTTTACCTAGGGAACTCCATAACGTTTTTAACAAATTTTCCTATCCCTGTTGAAAAGCAATTTGCTCCTTGATACTACCATTCTTGTTTCTTGGGTTCGGCAAGATGAAAAAATTTAGTTTTGTTAAAACTTGGTGTATTATTTCTTTCAGCGTCATGTTTATGTACATAAATTTACAGTGCTGGAATTAAAAAGCATTTAGACTTGGCTATGCTGCTAACTATACTTATAAAAAAAGAATACTGATTCTCAGCTAGCACACCTCACCAGGGGATTTCAAAGTGCTTTACAAGGAAGGCCAGTGTAATTACCTCCATTTTGCATATGGAAAGCCTTAAGTATGAAATGTGACTTTTTGAAGGTCGCTTGACGTATAAAACAAAACAGCGGTAGAGCTGAAAAAAAGGTCTGTACTTTATGAATCCTAGTCCAGTGAAATTAGAATGAAATAGATAATCTCATCTGTTATCTGTCTTGTGACAGGAGCCCAAGTCAATATGAACTTCGTGGTAGACCTACTTAAAACCTCCCCTTTTCGTAATCTCCCCAAAGGCAACAGAAGAGTTTTCAGAAGCCACAAGTGAGGTTTTATTAAAATATAAACTAGCACACTTAACTTTTTTAACTGAGAAGGTAATAAAGTCTAGGTACGACAGTGCAGAAATAAAAAAATGTATATAATTAACCTCCCCCACTCCCCACTGTGTCTTTGCAGGTGAGTTAATGGCTGAGTTTCAGCCAATTCAAAAGCTTACTTTATGTTATCCCCACTAATCCCTAGCAAGTTTTCACCTCCATCACCAGTGATCCTGACCCTACCCCTCCCACAGTCCCTGAGCACTGCTGTGCTGCAGACTCTGCTGCTCTGATTTAATTTCTGTTAGCTACACCTCAAGGTTTTGGGAACCTTCCATATACCATGTGCAGTTCTTTATAATGAAAAAAGCATCTCCCCTATCCTCCACGGGAGTTTACCTGACCCCACTTAATCAGTTTTTAAAGAAACTTGCATGCAAACCAACATATAATAGTGTCTGCCATGGGCTACAGCTTTGCTGAGCTGTTTGGAAGACGGCCATTAAACATGACCACCAACAAAGCCTGTGTATCCTTAGCAACCCTTCCCTTGGAGAAGGCCGTGTTCTTCGCAGAAATGCAGCATATGCAAACCTTGAGACAGCTAATTCAGAAAATAGGAATAAGCACCTTAGATCAGCAGTAGATCTGAAACATGAATTGCGTGAAGGACAGATGTATTTCAAGAGAGCACCATCATTTTAGTTACCAAATGACCAAAGACCCAAGCTATTCAATACATTTCCATTCTAAATCTGAAAATATTTTCTCTACTTATATCTAAGAAATATGGAGTGAAAATGAATTTATGAAAAGTCAGATGTATTAAAAGCTGAGTAAATGGAAATCAAGTTACATAGGCAAATTAATGAAAAGGGCCCCAGAGGAAAGGGAATAGAAAAGGTAGAAAACTCATCAAAGAAAAAGGATGTAGAAGGAGCTATGGACCTACATCTTTTCCAATAAAAGACAGAGAAAAATATCTTTTTTTCCATTGAAATGCGTTGCTGCAAGGCATGGCAGATGAAAGCCTGAAGAAGATGAGTCATTTGTGAGGTAGTTAAGAGTAAAATGGATGTTTCAGCCTAAGTCAGAAACCCAATTAAATGCTTGAAATTAATTGTTTACACACCCCTCTTCTTTGCAATGACTTTAAAAAACTAAGTTAATAAATGACATTTTAGTTTGTTCTCTTGTATATGAAGCATCGTACATCAATCAACCCCATGAATTAACTGTTTTGCATGTTCCCCAAATTATTTTGCATAGAGGACATTTACAGTATTTTACATATTTTACTTCAGTTCCTTGTTTAAAACCAGCTACAGTTGCCAGAGCAAAATTCTCTAAACATAACTTACGACAGTCTCTTTCATCTTCTTCATCACCACAGTCATCCTGTCCATTGCATCTCAGATTTATTGGAATACACTTCTGATTCTTTGTGCACTTGAACTGACCTGACAGACACACGTGTGTGTCTGTAAGTTAAAAGAATAGAAATATCAAGTTAAAAAGATTAAAAGTTAAAGATTAAAAGATTTAAAAATTACAAGGTAAAAGAATAAAAATATAGTTTCTTGACAGAATTTAAAACATGGCATTTA